ATTTACACTTTATAGTTGATGACAGAATTTACTTATTGTATTTATTTGTTGCTATTTCCTCTTACTAAAATGAAAGTGAAAGGGTTAATAGTGTTTTTACAAAATTAAACTCCATTCTGACCAGCTATTCCTACACGTAAATACCCGAGCAGTTTTCTAAAAAACCTGGGACTGACACCCAGAGGAACCATAAAGATAAGGGGTTAGTGACGGCCTTGGGAAACTTGAAGGGACCCTAACAAAGGAGATTAATGATGGCCCAGACCTCTGCCAGAGCAGACTCCTTACCTCTGAAACCAATTACGCAGTGCCAAGAGAATGTGGTTTTTTTTTAATGTAGTCTTTTTACCTTCTATAGTTTGTAACTATAAAACCCAGCGAACAAAGGGACTTCGCTGCTGAATTCTTTTCGAGGAGTCAGCCTGCCTGCCCCCAGGCATATGCAATAAAGTCCCTTTGCCCTACACTGGCCTTGGGTTGTGGATGTGATCTCCGGCCGGGTAAGACCTTTTAGAAAGCACCATGAAGACTGAAATTCTGCTCAAATATCTCAAGACTAAATAAAAGAGGGCCTGCAAAAACATCGATTTGTTGAATTAATTAACTGCTATAGAGAGGTCATATATAATGAAACCTTAGAGCAAAAGGTCACTGTGTTTCTGTCAGTTCTAACCCTGCACTTTTTTCCCAATATTTTCTACCTTAGCAAAGGTCTCATCATTCATCCAGATGGTCAAGCCAAAAAAACTTGGAAACCATTCATACTTCTGATTCTTCCAACTCCCCACAATCAATTCTTCACCAAAAGGTGTCAAAATTACCTCTACTATCTCAAAACAGGCACTCCACTACACCAGTTCAAACATATTCATCTCTAAACTAGATTATGAAGTCCACAACTGAGCTTTCTTCCTTAGATCTAAGTGGAACTATTTAACAGGTTTTAGATGGACAATACAAGTATGACAGGTGAGAAAGCAACATGAAGAATAGGATACCGGACGATAAAAAAATGAATTTTATCTTCACTTTCTTTCCTCCTATTCATGCACACTTATTCACATACAAGTTCCAGCTCAAATTTTATCTCCACTTTTGAAGCCATTCCCAGTTCCTTCAGGCAAAGTGCATGCTTTTTTTCTATTTGTACATAACTCCACTAGAGCACTTCTGTAGCAATTCTTTTTTCACATCAGTTGCCTAATAACAGGCGTCTAGTCTTATTCTAGTACAGGGCCTAACATTAAAAATATCTGTTAAACAGATGAATGAACACCAACTCTTCATCTAGAACTGGCAATTATAAGAAAACCTAAGTTTGAACAAAAGGGTGAAAAGGACAAAAGAATGAGAAGTTATTAGCCCTGGCTGGTTTGGCTCAGCAGTTAGAATGTTGGCCCACAGACCAACGAGTCTTGAGATCAATTCTGGTCAAGGGCATATACCTCGGTTTCAGTTCAATCCCCAGCCCTGGTCAGGGTCATGTGAGGGGCAACCAGTCACTGTGTGACACATCAATGCTACCCCCCGTCTATCTGAAAATCAATGGAAAAATATCCTTGGGTGAGGATTAACAAAAAAAAAAAGGAAAGAAATAGAAGTTATCTTCCTACCAATAACCAGTACATACAAATACTAAACTAAAGACCTAAGTGGGGGTGGGGGGGAAATAAAGGCCAAAGACATAAAGCATTTCCACTTAGATAAGGTTAGAGATAAGGGTATAGCTAAATTCCCACAAAAATATTTAATAGAGAAATAAATTATTTAGAATTTCACAGAGAAATGTGGAGGTGAAAGAAAGGCTAACCGAAAATAGCCCTTAAAAATAAAACATGTTAGCCCAGTGGGGTGGTGGTTCAGGTGGTTGGGCAGCGTCCCGTACTCAAAAGGTTGCAGGTTCAATTCCAGGTGAGGGCGAATATGGAAGACAACTGGTCAATGTTTCTCTCCCCTTCTCTTTCTCTCTCAAAATCAATGGGATAACACATCCTTGGGTAAGAATTAAAAACAAAACAAAACACAAGTTCTCTCAGATAGGAATACTCAAATAGATATAAATTAATTGTATTCATAAAGTAAAGATTAAGAAGAGAGCATTGTAAAACATACCATCATTCCCTTCTAATCCCATCCTCCCAAAGACAATCAAATATGTAGAATTCAACCATTAGAAAATTTGGCTGAAAAGAGGCCTATGAAAAACCAGCAAAATACGCTAACAGAAGGAATAAAGCTAAAATCAAACTCAACACAGTGGGCGCTCTCCCTCCTGGGAGCACAGGCCCCCCCTCCCACCTCCCCCCCCTTTCCCTTTTCCCCAGGCCTGTGACCTTTACCCTTCTCTCTCCGAAACTCCAAGGCCCCTTCTTTCCCCTCTGTAACTTGTTTCCTGAGCCCATTTCTTCTACCACTGACTTCTACCTCTGTGACTTTCTAAATAAAATTTTTGAAAACAATTTTCTTATTTGGAGAAAAAACAAATAAATATGTTCTCTGACACTCCTGGGGCCCGTGCTCCCAGGAGGGAGAGCGCCCACTGTATTGAGTTTAATTTAAAAAAACAAAAACACAATGAACTCAAATAGGTTTTAATTTTTCTTAGAAAATTCTGTTTTATAGACCTGTTGCACTATTAAAAAGAAATAAAGAGCCTAAAAAGTAATTTTTTTATAAGCAAGTACAGTTGTATGCTTGAGGGAAAACAAAAATATTCAAGATAATGCTGCCTCATGTATATTTCGATGTAAAAAAAAACGTTTAATGTAAAACGGCTCAGTTACTTATACTTTGGCAGATTTAATGACCAACCAAGGTGACACTAGAGTGGTGGCTCTGAAGCTTTTTGGGTCCTATCCTCTTGAGACTGCAATAAGAGCTATGTACCTGTCCTATAGAAAAGCATGCAGACATACAATATACAGCATTTTAAATATGCCACAGCAGTCACAGAGACATGGAACCTAGTTGTAGAACTGATGCCTTAATATGCAGAAATAGCAAATGACATAAGACTCCTCAGAAAAGAAAATAAACTGTTAATAACAACTCTAGAGATTTTTTCTCAGTCATCCAATCAAAAACACTGAACATAAAAATCTCTATTGGCTGAATTTTATCAAGTGATATACACCCAGATAGAGCATTTACTATATACTGTATTGTTCTAAGTGTTTTAAATATACTTATATTTTTACATAAATGCAAATAATTGTTATCCTCATTTCACTAATAAGGAAATTAAAGCACAGAATGTCAAAGAACAATGACACAAAACAGAAATGACTAATGAGATTAAGAAGCAAAAAATTCCCTTATAGTGTACACTATCTAATAGCAACTTAGACCTGTATTTGTATTAGCACAGTTCTACAAAGCAGAACATATTGTCCAAACTCCAGAAGGATGACAACCTTAATCCCTTTCCATTCCTGCCAAGATAATCCTGATATCATATTCACTTGGGAGTACACTGTAACCAGAAATGTGAACACAAAATGTTCAAAAGAATATAACACTAACTAAAGGACTTATAAGATTAACAATGGAAGAATAATTTTGAGGATAACAAATCTTAGCTTTCTAAATTACTATCTTTTGTATAAATACCAGCAATAAATCATGCTTTGAAAAAAACTATCAATATAATATAATAAGATGTAAAAATTCTGAAACAGGGTACCTTATTCTACACGAGAAGTTCAAGTTCTCCTACCTCAAACTTTCTTCAAAGCTCTGCCTCCTTTTTACTATCTTGGTTCCATGCCTCTTCCATTCCAGGACAATCACAAAGTAAAGAAAACCTCACAGGTTCAATAGGTCTTACTAAATCCCATCAATCACAAGACAAATTTCAGACTCCCTGGATGTGTTGCATGCACAATAGACACCTGCTGACTGGATGAATCTTCTCCAGAGGAAAATGCATGTGTTTAACATTTTCTACCTCCCATAACATTACATTACAAGTTATTATAGCATCAGAATAATCCAATAAAACAATTTCTGTATGTTAAATCACATGACTGAAAATTTCTAATTTACTATTTTTTTAGATTCTCTATCCAAGGAGTAGAAAAGAAAAATTTAATTTTAAAAATTAAATTTATACAGTTAAACCAAGATACCACAAAAATTTTATCTGAGCATATTCCTTTTTTAAAACAACAATGTTCTTAACACACTGTAATTTTTACAGCTTTCTTTGTAATGTTTAATAAAGACATGACAAAATCATGGATCTTTTCTTTTATACTACCAAAAAACTCTTTGAAATATTATATATGAGACAATAGCTCCACTGAATATAGGTGGCCTGCTGCTTTAATAGCAATACTCTAAATTCGGTAAAATTTAAAAACCAAGAAATAATAAAAATGAACATATACTCTTAAGTATGCTGCAAAAAAGTTCCCTCTCTTTTTAATTCACAAACACTTGCTCTTGATTCACTGAGCTGTTAAAATATCTCATACCAAAAACACAAAATTGAACTATATTTTACACAGCGCTTCCTGGAAGTCAACACCAATTTAAGAAAGTTAATCTCTGTATTACACAGGCCCTCTTAGCATATAAAGAATATGAGAGCAAAAATTCAAACTAAAATATACCCTAATACCAAGCAGCATTTATTCAAAAAAGAAAAACAACAACAACAACAACCTACAGTTGCTGAATATCAATTTACCAAAACAGGCAAGGATGACCTTATCTTGGCAAAACTCAGAATACTGTTTCTTCAACATCCTAGAAGACAGCTTGATACACCACACTTTTCCATCTGCTTTGTTCTATTTCTTTATGCCCCAAATGCAAATTAAACAGTTCAAGTATCAGCCAAAATTTCATCAGTCACAGTAAAGAGAAGTAGCATGACATGAATAACAGGTAGAAAAATAGGTAGAATAACCTTGGTAATGACCTTAGAGTGCATGTTGAGACAGAAGATCTATTCAACACATACAGGAATCACACTGAACAATTCTATTCTCACTTACCTGATGAGCTCTCAGTAAATACTGTTAATGTTTGTCCTCCAACACTTTGCAAGACAAATGGATGTTCTCTAGGAGCGCTGACTGAAGCTGGTTTCCCACCAATATCATGAATATTTGCAAGATCCTCATTCAAAGTAAATGACACCTAACAGACATATTAAGCAGGGCTTATTACAATAGACTTTTGTATTCAAAAGTACAGAAATTGATTATAAATCAAACAATTTTTTTAAAAATGTGAATCAGATTCAGTCATTTAAGCATTTTTAAATCTTTTAATACCTAGTCATAAAAAGAGACTATTCCCATATGTCAGAATAACAGGGCTAATCTAACTATTATAAATACAAATAGCTTTCAAATATTTTCTCTAATCGAGGGGTGAAGAAATTCTATTTCTAAAATAGGAATACTCTATTCCCATATGTCAGAATAATAGGGCTAATCTAACCATTATAAATACAAATAGCTTTCAAATATTTTCTCTAATCGAGGGGTGAAGAAATTCTATTTCTAAAATAGGAATACAATTTTACCCCTAAGTTCTTTGAGGTCAAGAGACCACACCTTGTATTATTAACATCCTTAAAAAAATAAATATAGCCCAGCCAGTGTGGCTCAGTAGTTGAGTGTCGACCCATGCACCAATAGGCTGCCAGTTCGATTCCCGGTGAGGGCACATGCCCAGGTTGTGAGCCCAATCCCCAGTGAAAGGCATGCAGGAGATAGCCAATCGATGTTCTCGCTCATCAATGTTTCTATCTCTCTCCCTCTCTCTCTAAAATCAGTAGAGGAAAAAAAAAATTTATATATATATAATATATATATAAAATAAATATGTATGTGTATGTATGTATCTCCTAGAAAGTGTATGGCACATAGAAGAAAAACAGTATTTGCTGAATGAATATTTTAAGAGTATTAAGAAAGCGACTGTACTTGAAGAGGGAAAAGTGAGCTACTTGGAAAGCTTAAATATTCCCATAAGCAGACAATACATTTCTTTTTTAGGTCTTAATTACTACTGTATGAATACATGATGCTGTTTTATTTTTTAATATTTTAATAAATACAACTAAGTATGTATAAGGATAACTCAATGTTGAGGTTTAGAATAAAAAGGAATAGTAGGCATTCTTTCAAAATGATTTTTACTATATACTAGATCTCCCCAAAAGAATATCAAATTTTACATCAATGTATAAACATAAAATGCTGATCTCACAACCATGGAGAAAGATTATGAAGTATTTATTAAATATCTCTCTACTGTGCGTTAGGTACCATAAATTATGTCCTAGACTTAATGGGTCAAAATCTAAAACACTCAAAATCCAAATCAAATACCTCTGTATGCCATACTGAAATAATGCTAAAATATTACTGAAGTAACACTAAGTTTCATAAGTACTGAAGAGAGGGGATATTTTAGGTCAAAGTAGAAAAAATGCTAAGAATGAACAACTAGAAAGGAGTCCATTCATTCACACAAGAGTGGCATTTATACTATTATGTCTTCTTGACCATAAGCTACTAGGTTGATGTGGAGTTTTCCAGAATCTAAACACCATCCTCTCTTTACTATTACTAATGCACAGAAAAATAATCTCTGTTTTAAATCATATTTAAATAGAAATAATCTTACCTCAGTCCTTCCTTGATTCCTTAAAGAGAGAAAAGAAAAACATTTTAATTATTTAGATTTCATGTTTTTTCCCCCAAGTTAACACTACTGCATACTTACATAAACTATTATATTTACAGAGCTTATTTACCCATGTCTCTCCTCAACTATCCTATCTGTAATCCTATAGGCAAAACAAGTCACATTAACCCCATATGAGTATTTTATTATGAGTCTGTGTCACTTAATACTATTACAACATGCCCTAATAATATTTTATCCAAATAATAATCTTATTACAAGTCTTTCATTTATTTCTGAGCATTTTTAGCATTTGGCAGCATGTGAATGCATATTTATACAGATATATAGTATTCAGCAAATTTTACTATTTATTTTGTCTAGCTGAAGATTTTTCATTTACCTAACAAAATCTTAAAGATCAAAATTAAATATTTAAATTATAAGCAATTTTCTACACTATAAAAACAATATATGCTCATACATAAACATACAGACAAGTCAAAAGAAGTTTTAAAATAGTCATAATTCCACTGTTACCATGCTGGTACGGTAAATATCCTTCCAGACTATTTCTATATATTTGAATTACATTTTTTTAACAAATATAGAATCAATGTATACTTTATAGAATAGCCTAATTTCAAAAAAAAGTGTATTAAATACCTACTATATGCAAAGTTCTAAGTGTATTGCCCCTATTCCCAGCCAGCAGAAGCTATTAATATTTAATTAAGAGAGCCACAATGTGCCAGGATCAGATTAATTGACTGAGGGATGAGGGTAAGAGTATGGGAGTATTCCAGGATAAGAGAATAATTCAACTAAACACCAGAAATGAGATGGTATCTAGCACATTGTTTCTAACACCAATGCGTAGACTGGGGTCAAGTGGTAAAGAACCTCTTAGGCCAAACTAAGGTGTCCAGAATCTTAAACAGATTTCACTGTAGGACTTCTCAGTCTTTAATACATTAAAATGCAATGTCAATCTTCTTTTTTTTCTTTATCCTCACCCAAGGGCTTTTTTTTTTTTTTTTTGCATTTATCTTCAGATAGAGCGGGAGGGAGAGAGGGAGAGGGAGAGAGAGGAAGAGAGAGAGAAAAACATCGATGTGAGAGAGACACATCGAGTGGCTACCACCCACACAACCCCAATCAGGCTGGGGACAAACTGCAACCGAGGTATGTGCCCTTAGCAGCGGTTCTCAACCTGTGGGTCACAACCCCTCTGGGGGTCAAACGACCCTTTCACAGGGGTTGCCTAAGACATAACAGTAGCAAAATTACAGTTATGAAGTAGCAACAAAAATAATTTTATGGTTGGGGGTCACCACAACATGAGGAATTGTATTAAAGGGTCGTGGCATTAGGAAGGTTGAGAACCACTACCTTAGTGGGAACCGAACCCAGGACTCTCTGGTCCACGGGCTGACACTTAAACTGCTGAGCCAAACTGGCCAGGGCTCAATATTTTTTTTTGTTGGAGAAGTATCTAGAACAGAGGTGAAGAAATTTTAAGAGTTTACATAAAAATATGAATTTCCGCCCTGGCCGGTTTGGCTCAGCGGTTAGAGCATCCGCCTGCGGTCCCGAGAGACCCGGGTTCGGTTCCCGCTAAGGGCATGTACCTCGGTTGCAGTTTGTCCCCAGCCCTGGTCGGTCGTGCGGGTGGCGGCCACTCGATGTGTCCCTTTCACATCGATGTTTCTCTCTCTCTCTCTCTCTCTTTCTCTCTCTCTCTCTCTCTCTCTCTCTCTCTCTTCCCTCCCCCCTCTCTCTCCCTCCCACTCTACCTGATCAAAAAAGTGTCCTCGGGTGAGGATTAAAAAATATATATATATGAATTTCCAGCATCTCTTAAAGATTTGAAAGATTTGGCAAAAATATACCAATTCAGCATGACAACAATCCCCTTGACATACACAGATAGGCAGGCACTGAATTCACTACCATCCCTTCCCTATCACTCCTGAACTTGACTTCTAGAGGCACTGAATTTAACTAACTTTAAGAGAGAGGCACTGGAGGCAAAGCAAAGGAAAGATGCTGAAGGTACGTGCATAATGTTTACTGAACTGAAGGGAAGCTAATGCAAAAACCCAGGTAAAAAGTAATGAAAACTTGAGGAGGATATGACAGGATATTTAAATGGTCAGAAATGACAGAAGAGAAAATGACTGGAAGTGGGCAGCAAGAGAGAAAGGACGGATTAAAGATCATATTGACATTTCTAGTTGGGGTGCCTAGAAAATCACCCAGACGCAATTAGAAAACACTTGATGGGAGGACAACTTCATTTTCATATGTAAAAATAATTTATAATGACATCTTAGCTGAAATGATAAGAAACTGATGAACTCTGGATGAGTTAATTTTCTATAATAAAAATGGTCCTTAAAAACTTAAAACTTATTTTAAAAGGATTACATATTCTTTTGTCTTGGTGTGTGAATACTTGAAGCACACACAATCTTTTGTAGTTCTACAACTAAAATACACCCTTTCCATGAAGACCTGTGGTTAAAATTATAAACATCGACTACTTAAACACAGTAACATCTTCTGAAATGATTGATGTAAACATCTGGCTCATCCTTTCACTGACCACCCCATAATGCTGTGCAGTTTCTCCTTCATTACTATGTGTTCATTTCTCAATAACCCAGTTAGTTCTTTAGACTCCAGTCTTGTTCCTCTTGCCTTTTTTTTTTTTTTTTTTTTTTTTAATTAATCATTTGTCTTTCCTTTTTCTTACTTTTTAAATACTTCTTAGATGTGATGTCATTGGGGCCAGACTTTTCACTAAGCACGTCCTTTTGCAGGGTAAGAAAACCAACCAAATAATACCAAGTCTTTAACTGTGCTACAGGGCTGTTTTGTTTTGTTTTGAATTCCTTTTTATACATCCACCTCTTGGACATGTCAGCTCAAAAACGATGAGGTGAGACCAAATAAGGTGGGTTGCCGAGTGGGTTGAGCAGGGTAGGGTGGTCAGAGCCCAAACAGGACAGATAGGAAGTGCCTGGGGTGGAGGGGACAGCAGGGTAAGGAGGGCATCCACATAAAATTAGAATGGCTCAACAAGAAGTGTGTCAGAAGCTCGCAGGGTGAGGGCATCCACATGGGAGGATAACCGGAAGCAGGCTGCTGGAGCCCTAGAGAGGTAAGAGGCAGGCCTATGAGAGTACAGATTCAGAACAGGGGATGGAAGCCGGAATGCACTGAGGAGAGCACCCCCGTGGAGAACAGCAAAGGCAGCAGCCTAATGAGGGGTGCTATAGAGCCAAGCAGGTGAGGAGAGCATTCATCCATTGTTGGGGGAAAGAGGAGTCTGAACAAATAAGTGAATATATTACATATAACAGGAATCAGGTTTCTCACTTTCAGAAAAGAGGTACAAATATGAATGGGGAGCCCCGCCTGGTTTTGCTCAGTGGTTAGAGAGTTGGCCCTCAATCCAAAGGGTCTCAGGTTCGGTTCCAGGTCAAGGGTACGTACCTGGGTTGCAGGTTCAATCCCTAGCTATGGTAGGGGTTGTTTGGGAGGTAACCAATGGATGTGTCTCTCTCACATTGATGTCCCTTCCACTCTATCTAAAAATCAATGGAAAAATATCCTTGGGTGAGGATTAACAAAAAGAAAAAAAGAAAGGGGAGAAACTAGAACATACCCAGTAGTGTTGGACTGGGATATTGGTGTAACTTCATGATTTTTCATGTATGTCAATACAGAAATAAACACAGATGGAAAGGTGTGTGTGTGCATACACTCCCTAGCTCTGCCCACTGAAAGGGCCTGGGAGCAGATGGAACACTTATCTTAGTTTCTAGAAGGAACCAGGGCTTCTTAGAGAAATGAAGGACACCAGGACTCTGAAATGTACGGGTGAGTCTAAATCATCTATCTATGACAAAAAGTACTCAAGGAATGATGAGATCGTGTCGAAAGGCCACCAAGCTTAACACTATTGAACTGTATACTTAAAAATGTTTAAGATGCTAAGTGTTATGTTTTTGGTTTTGTTTTTTATCACAATAAGAAAAGGGGGGTGAGGCACAGGAGCCAGCTAGCAGCAGCATACACTAGCTAAATTTTGGACAATTTGAACATCAGAATAAATGATGATGGTAACAAATTATAACGCAATAAAGAAAACTGGAATCCACGAGATCATATTAACATAGATAAATAAATGGATAAAGTGGAAAATTTGATGGTGAATAAAATTTTTAGTCTCAAAGTACCACCCCACAGAATACTTAATAATTACAAAGGGGAAAAGAGCCCTGGCCGGTTTGGCTCAGCGGTTAGAGCGTTGGCCTGCGGTCTGAAGAGACCTGGGTTCGGTTCCTGCTAGGGGCGCGTGCCTCGGTTGCAGTTTGTCCCCGGCCCTGGTTGGGTCATGTGGGTGGCAGCCACTTGATGTGTCCCTTTCACGTCAATGTTTCTTTCTCTCTCTCTCCCTCTCACCCTATCTGAACAAAATATCAAAAAATGTCCTCTGGTGAGGTTAAAAAAAAACAAAGGGTAAAAGACTACATTTATAGTGAAAAAGCTTAGAGGACACTCCTTAATCAAGTGATCAAAATTACCACTACCAGTAATGGGACAAAATGAAAACATGGAAACCTTGCTAGAAAATAGTTAGAACCCAGCTTCACCTTTGCAACATTCTTACCAAAGATGCATAACCTGAATCTAATCATTAAAACATCAGACAAACCCAAGACTGTTGACATTTACAACCCTAGAAAAGAATTCCAAATGTTCTAGATTTAAGGAAACTAAAGAGACCTGACAACAGAACCCAACAGTCTTGTGGAATGGATCTTTCTGCTATGACACATTATGAAGACAATGGACAAACCTTGAATAAAGTCAAGGATTAGGCAGCAGTACAATTTGATGTCAATCTACTGATTTGGAGGGGTGTGCTGTGATTATAATGGAGAATGTCCTTGTTTATAGTAAAAAAAAAAAAAAAAAGTTCTTTATTCTATTCTTCCAACTTTTTTG